ATAACGTACTGCCATGAAATATAAAAAAAAAATTGACTCCACCAAGATTCGATCTTACGACCCCACGCGTACGAAGTCTATTATAGTACCACAGAGCTCAAGCACCTTATAATGGTCCGTTATTGCTTTACAGTAGTTAAAAAAAGACTTTAAGACCACGTGATGTGCATAGCTAGAAACTGAAGTTGTCTAAGTAAGATCATTGACGTGATCTTTTATTAAAAATTTATCATTTTCAAAGAACGCGTGTGTGCATTACGGTATGGAACACGCAGATCCATTCTTGTTTGAATGACTTTCACGTCCTCGCAGCTTCTGGGATCGTCCAACCATGCTTGAGTGGACAATGTATAACAGAGAGTAAGCTAACATTAACTAACATGATTAGTGTACACGAGGGCATGAATCGAAACTGTTACCACAACATTTATCAGAAATAAACCGCATTCATGTTGACCATGCTTAGGCAGCACACACAAGAACATTTGTGGTATGAAACCACAGAACTGCAATATCATATCAGAATGCAACTAACTGCTGTCATATCCGTTTGTGATTGTGTCTCAGGATATGAGTATTTAGCGGTCTGCCAACATTTTCGCAAGATCCAAAGGAAATTACTTATATAAAGGAGATAATTAACTAAATACTTGTGTGATTTTAATAGCTGGCATAACCAGTGGTCTATTTCAAAACACAATTTTCAAGTACGTTCATAATCCATCTTAATACAAAAAAAAAAAACATAGCTCCAATAGCTCATTAGTTATTGCTGTTAAACTGAAATCTAAATAAGAAATCTTGCACGTCCGCCATTTTTTTTTACATTCTACAAATATTGCCCTAACAAACGTTTTATCGTTTAAAAAGATTTATTTTCAGGTAATATTTCAGGGTCCTATTGTCATTCTCACTTCAACAGCTTGTATGTAAGCCGTATTATTACTGATTACAGTATGTTAAAACGTATCCAACTCCATAATATTCATTCAATAGTGAAAATCGGTGAATAGGTCAATAGTTAAGACGTGGGACACAGATACAGTCAAAACACAGGTAACGTGGTCATCACAGAGATCTGCTCTTCCCGTAAGAAAAGAACGTGGGCTACACATACTAAGATTCGTATTCCTCGAATAGCAAGCCGTTTCCACAGAATTAAACGAGAATCGGTTAATTAGTGTCGATAATACGAGATGAGTAAATTGTTTCAACTGTCTAAATAGTTGAATTCGAAGGTTCAATACCACGACTCCACTAATGAACACAAACGTGAACCAGTTCAATCCATTTCCGATTCTTATAACCTATTATCATAAAATTCGTTCAGATGTTATCTTCTAATGTCCCTTCCAAGCTTCCAAATGACTTTTACAAACAGTTTGTCCATCGATACCCCGTGAGCATTTCTATATTTCAGCAACCAAACTACACGCCAAGCTCAACTAAGACACTTAGAAGTCACTATACTAACAAATATCTATGTGACACGTACAAACCACAGAATTACTCGCTTCCTCCTGTCTTCTGGAATGTTGCGCCGTGTAGTCTGGTAGATACTGACCGACGTTTCAGAGAAGTGTACTGATTCCCTCCACCCCTTACGATTAAGGCAGTAATTACCTCTGAAACGTCGGTTAATATCTACCAGACTACATGGTGCAACATCCCAGAAGACAGCACTCTTCATAAACATCGCAGTGAGAACGTGAAATCTCACCCAATACAAAATAAAGTTGTAAAATCTAAACCAGATGTGTATTTTATATCACAGGCCAGTTATCTGGATTAAATAACAGCTCTAATATTCGATTTGAGTCTCGTATGACACGAACAAAAATTACATTTTATCAGTACCAGATTTTAAGATGGCTGTCTTATAGATTGTTATGGAGTGTAGTCTGGTAGGTAGGTAGGTAGAGAGATATTCACCCCGATGATTGAGCCAGCAAGCATATCTCAAACGTCGGTAAATTTCTTCCAGACAACACGACGCAATAATCCAGAAGACAGCCATCTTCATAGTCGCCGCCGTGAGAACCTAAAATTTGATCTAAATTTGTTGAGTAACGTCGGAGATGCTATCCTTGCATTATGCGTTCATTTTATGTACGTTGTGCAAGGATATACAGTTTCTGAGACACCATCTTGGCTCTGTGAAACAGTGACAAATCTTAGAAGGCAGCAGACACGTGGTTTATGATGGAGCACAAGGTCTTCAACTTTCCAAACTAAAATCCAACCCACGCACCATGAAGAGCCTTTAAAGTAGGCCGCACTGCTCAGCAGCAGGGGAACGACCTGTGCCACAGGTTAACAAGTCACGGCGATGAGTCCGAAGATGGCTGTCATCTGGGTTGTTGGGCCGCGTAGTCTCGCAGAAGTATACCAACGTTTCAGCCTTCATCGCCCTGATGATGGAGGCAGCAAGGACCTCTAAAACGTCGGTAAACCTCTGCGAGATTACGCGGCCCAACAACCCAGAAGACAGCCATCTTCAGATTACAATTAATTACGTGCACTAAAAAAATATTCAGTTTGGTTGATTCATTACACAGTATAATATTTTAATTGAAATGTTAAAAAAGAGCCACGGTGGTCTAGCGGTTAGAACGCTGGCTTTGTAATCCTGGGGTCTCGGGTTCGAATTTATAACTTGTGTTGGGCAAGGCCTTGGTCTAGGCAACACGGAGTTTTCCTCCGTGGCATCCCACCAATTACTCCATTCACACACAGACGAAGGCAATGGCAAACCACTTCTGGATCATCTGCCAAGAACGTATATGAACAGGTCCCAGTCCGAGAAAAGGATGGAAGGATCCTGTTCATATGGACCTGTCCTCAGACAGAACACTAAATAAATATAAATAAATAATGTTAAAAAATGCATTTTATTTTACTTAAATTATATTTTTATCAGAATCGGGTTTTTTTATTGTATTAAGGCTCGAACTGCTTCTTTCCATTGGTCGATGCGTGATCGGATTTGATAACTACAAGAGGTTAGGTTAGGCAGTTATTGTACAAAAAGCTAAACGGAACCGTTTCAGTCCTTGGAGTTGGTATTACTGCAACAAAGAACTGAAAATGTGTGTTCTCTCGTGCCACAAGAGAACATAAGATCAGCATCGATCAGAGGAGAAACTGGTTCGTAAAGTAATATAAGAATACAGGGGTTCCTACATGAAATTTATTCCTCTGAGAATGTGACTCGATCATAAACGACATACATATTTTTAAAATTCAAAATGAAAAATAAAAGTGTAAAATCTCCTTATATACTTAGAAAATGTCTATAAAACTTTCACTGAGTTTCGTCAAATCTGTAGAGGCTTCAATTTAACCATTTTTAAAACGTCGTTTTTGGCTCAATCAGGTATAGTCTGATCTACTAACAGGGCCCCAAATAAATGAAAGTATAACTTCAAGAATGTACACTATTACGATAGTCAGCATGTATCATGTTTACAAGCTCCTTAAATTTTTTCAAACGCAACAGTTACGTTGAATGACACGAAATATTCACTCAGTTTTGTTAGAAATGTCCTTGGCATTCAGATATTAAGTAATGAAGCCATGCGTTGTAGTTTTTGTGTCTCAGATCCGCCTCGGAACAGCTGTTACTATGATGCAACGCATTTCACAGACACGTACAGATGAGTTCACAAATCGAGCGTTCTTGCTACAAAGTTCAGTTCGCTGCCACAAGTGTTG